TATATATATATATATTTGTAGCTTAGACAGACATCCATGCTTCATCATCCAATTTTTCTTTTGTTTTTCAATAATAATAAAGGTTATATCAAACTAGCATGCATAGTTTTCTATAATTTGTTTAGTTTGAACACATTGCTAATTTTCATAGAAGTTCCTTCAAAAAGTGGCGGACATTTTTTTTGAGAACTTTTGTTACAGAACCAGCACCATTAACGGCTCATTTCATTCATAATTACATCATAATTAAAATAAAACGGTACACCAACTAACTAAACAGTATCTCCTACTGCATTGTGTGGAGCTAATAAACATTGAAACGTTCTGTTATATTTTTATTGTTATGATTTTTGTCTGTCATCTATAGATTTCTACGCTCTCACTGTTCAGTACTATACGAACACAAGCCATGTCTTTAAAAAAGTCAAATTGACTGTTTATGCAGTGATTGCTTTGATCCGTGTCTGTCATAAAGGTGCTATGAATGAAGAGGCTCTAAAAGAAGATGCTAAAAGCTCTGATCTAGTCTTGTATCATACCTTGTAAAACATGAAACATGTTTTTGTCAAACGCATGCCTTTTTGTATTATGTCTAAGCATTTGTTATATTTTCTACGAATAAAAACAATTCTGTAAATATTTCACAACATTCTCCTAAATACATTTATCTCCTTCATGCTAATTTGGTTAGCTCATTAGCTAGCTTGGTTTGCCTCGGACACAAGGCAGGAGAATTGTAGCAGAGTTTTGCATTGATGCACATTACACTAAAGTTGACATGTACTTTTAAATCCTTCCTTTTCCGTCATAATCTTTCTAATGTGGCCGTAGAACTTCAATTCTCTAAGTCTGAATTTCTTGCTATTTCAGAATTGTGATATCACAGAGATTCGATTAGTTTTCTGTGCAGAAACTTGGGAATATGTAAATTATGTGGGTTAATACCATAGACATACATATAAGAGTAGACCCTGCTTTACTGTCGCAGCACAGAAATTATTTCTATTTCTATTTATTACTTTTAATTATTTATATATATATATATATATGTCACAGCTCCTCTATTAGCCATCCCGTCATGCACAGATCGGATGCTAGTTGGGTTTAAAAAAAAAAAAAGATTTACTGTAATGAATGGTAGAGAAAAACAAATACTCTGGTTAGCCTCTCCTCTGGTTCACCAACAGCACAGCTGGGGGCCGAACAGATTCTGTCTTACATACACAATGAATCTACATAAATTCACAGGACAGTTTCTTATTATATTTGATCGTATAGTTTTCTCTTTTTTTTTCTTATACAATGTATATTTAAAATAAGTTCAATACAATTTGTTTTTGTTCTTTTTTATATAAATCAACAATTTAGAAAAACAAATACAGACAGCAAGTAAAATTAATAAATAACTTAAAAGCAAAGCAAAATAAAGTAAACATCATAAAAACAACTAACAAGTAAACAGAGACACTGTAAGCATAACTGAACACTGACAAACATAACTGACAACCGTATCAAACATAGTGGTAAACAAAACTGACAACA